TGTTGTAATGCTACTCCTCAATGCTGCTGTTATTGATGATGTTTAGAGAGAGGAGCTTAAACTGAAAGCTGAGTTTGATAAGCTCCTAGATGAGAATGATGCTCATCAATTCTCCAATGCTCTTATCAAGATATATCGTCGTAAGATAAAGAGTAAGGAGTGTAGGGGTAGGGGGAAGAGATGCATGGAATACTGCTTTAGGGAGGTCGAAGAGGGATGGTCAACACGATGATGATAGTAGTCTTGATTCTGACATCAACTCTGCTGCTGATAGGTGAAGTGGTTCTATAACTAGCTCTTAACAATGTATTCCTCAGTGATAGTGATGATGATGATGAAGACGATAATGAGGAGGCTGATGTGTGCCCATCAGGCTGTGACTCGGCTGTCTATGATGGGGTAAGGGGGCATCCTTGGGGAGAAGGCTACATAGGGACAGGTTCTTGAATTGCGGAATAGGAGGCTTGATATGGAAGAGGCATTGGGGGAAATACAGAAGATTGTAGAGGAGTCTAAGAAGAGCCACACCAGACTATTACAGAAGGAGAAAACATTGAATAAGGATCAGACATTGGCTGAGGAGTAAGCAGCAATGCTCATGATGATAATAGTAGGGTCATTGTTGTAATGAGTATAGGAAAATACAACACTTCCAAGCCAATAAGCAACAGAAGCTAAACCAACTACATAGAATACTGTCGCTGAAACTATCACAGATTAAGTGAGGGCAGCGGCGGCCCGACCCCTTGCCGAGTAGTAGTATAGTTTTAGGTGCATATCCGTGGTGGAGGATAATGTGGAGTCATCAGGCCTCGGTCGGTATGCTCTACTGTCTGGTCAGACAATCCGCCTACCAGAGAGCCTTGATGAGGAGGGTCAGGTAGGAGGGGAGTGGTGTAGTAAGGAGGAAGAGGAGGAGGAGGAGCTATGTTGTAGGTAGTGTTCACTAACACAGCACTGGAGAGGTTAAGGCAACGTATTGTTGATCTACATCGAGAGAAGGCCGAGATCAGGAGGCAATATCGTAATTTAAAGATGATGTATGGTGCTAGGATGAGGGAGAATAAGAAGGTAGTAGTACTCCTTCTTAGGGGGTGTTGGTGACTATAGATGGTATAGATTAACGAGGCAAAGAAGGAGCTGGAACGGAGGTTGGAAGATATTCAGCAGCTCAAGTTTGGGCAGTTGGTTGATATTGACGATCTAGAGAAGAGTGGTAAGTTAAAGTGGATGCACTGGGGTCCGAACCTGTGCTCTTTGTTAGGGATGTCTCGAGAGCAAGAGGAATTGGGAGATCGTCTCCGTGAAACGGAGTTGCGAATACAGAAACGACTCGCTAAGTGGGAGGAGAAATTGAAAGAGGAAAGGTATATAATTTTGGAATGAAGTTGGTTGATCTGGAGTCTCTCTCTTATAGGCAAGTTTATGTTGAAGTAACCAGAGCCAATACTAAGGTGATGGAGGATCTGGTTAAACTCGGCCAACGCCGAGCCTCTCTTGACACCGAATTAGACGCTAGGATGGATCGTATTGCTCTTGATGATGAAGTTGGTTATGATGGGAATGAAATCGAATATGAAAGGATGCAAGATCTGTTGAATATGCAGGTAAGGAGGCGACTGGACTCGGTATTGTCCCTATTCATCCTCAGCGAAAGGAGATCGTCACCTTACAAGCGGAGATTGAGTTATTCCGTCGTAAAGGAGGACATGTCTTTGCAATGGCAACATCGATGGCTATAAAGAGTACACCTCCTCCCCAATAGGGACTATCCATAAATACCTTATAATAACCATGTCCATAGACGTTATTTACTACCACTCTGTCGTCGTGTTGTTGTAAGTGGGAACTCTGAAACAAAAACTATCATATGGGATTTGGAGGAACCCTATAATTATGCTTATCGCAGGCAGCAGAGATATGTCAAGGGTTATGTTCTTATGAAATATAATTTTATCTTACTCTGTCTGATCACCATCGGGGGATGGATGGTAGCTCTGATTGTATATAGCAACGGTTTAAGTGGCCATTAATGAAACACATCGTCGATACATATCGAGACCTTTACTTCTTCCCAACCCTAAGTAGCGAGACGCAATTACAGACCTTCACCATAGTTACCTCGGGTGTGAGATAAAACTCGGTGAAGATGTTGCCCTCCCGACCTCTCCCTAATGATATCACACTGAGAGTATAAATCGTTATAATCCTTCACCCATCACTAAGAGTTTGCTACAATTGTAGACTATACTGATTCCGGCCTCGCAACGGTTGGTGAGACCTCAGAGCTTCAAGGGGCTTTAGTTGACCAACTCAATATTAACACAATAGGAGGTATAAAGAGAGACTTGCCTTATGGTGATGATGCTGTTCCTCCGAGCTAAATTATATACCTCAAACAACGCATACATCTTCTCACGGGGACAAGTACAGTGCAGCATGTGCACCAGTAGCGCCACCATGCGTGTCAGAAGCTTTAATAATCTCCCCACAGAGAGGATAATGATGATGCTGCTAAGACAACAACGATGATGATGATTATGATGATCATACTGATAGTAGATAAAGTAGTTGTTAGTATGACTAGAGGTAGTAATAGCAGTAAATGAGGTGGTTGGTCAGCAACAACAAGAAGAAGAACAATACTATGAGACACAGAGACTACCTACTATATACTGCATGGTAGTAGTATATAATATTAACATCATCAGAGCGACAACTGGTAGAACGATGATGATGTTTAGTACCCTACAGCAAACCTTTGCTAATAGAGATAATAAGGATGTCCAGAGAATAGTGCAGCAGCAGCAGCAGAAGGTAGTCTTAGAAGATAATATCTTCTGAATACTTGAGCGTTTAGGCTACTACTAAGCTTTACTGTACTTGTAGCAACAAGCCCATAATGGAAGGGGTATATTGATAATGATACGATATGGTATTATGTATGACAACAACAACATCAACCTGATAAGAATAATGTAGTCAGACATTATCATACAATAACAATGCATACCTTGAGTACCTTCGACTCCTCTCGTTATCATCAACATCATCACCACAACGACTAGTATAATCAATATCATGCAATGTAACAACATACGCTACTGCTTAGAAGCAGCAGCAGCAGTAGCTTGTTGAGCTTCAGCTTCCTTCTTTTGAGCCTGATAATGATTATGATGAGAATGACTAGACTATGCACAAGGATTACCTCAAGAACGAAGCCAACTGGTTGGGCGATAGTCTGGGCTGAAGGGAGCAACTTCGGATCAACAACCTCCTCCTTCTCTGCTGGTGCTGCTGCTGCTGGCTTATCTTCCTCCTTAGCAATGGCCGCATCCTTCTCAAGCAACTCAGCAGGCATCTCAATGCACTGGGCAGAGGGTAGCAACTTAGGATCAGTATGATCGATATCCATTCCTGTATGGGTAGTAGTAGGCGTAGTAGTAGCAGCAGCAGTGTCCTTGCTAGTAGTAGGTTCGTTAGTCTCTTCCGGCTTTGACGAGAAGCAACCCATAATCAACGAGTGTAAAATTACCCAACTACATCACTAAGCTCAGCATCTACTACATCCCAGACCTCTACAATAGGAGTTGCCGTTTCACGTCCCTCCTGCGTCTGCGTGCAGTAAGGGCAAGTAACCGTCGAGTACACCTCAAGTCCCCCGCCTATCCTTCAATGACACTCCCTCTCCTCCACACTTCGATACTACAGATGTAAACAGTATTGTCGCCCTTATAGTCCAACAAAACGCTAAAAATGTCCCCTCGAGCAGTCCTGTGACAATCTCGCTCGCCCTAAATTAATCGACCACTTCCTCCGACCCAACTTGACGGTTTGGACTAAGAATGAAGTGGATTATGGAAGCTTTTATATTATGAGGGAAAACCATCTTGGGGGTGTATCAAACTCGAATTGGGAAACTCTTATGAGCAGCGAGTCATCGGGCTGTGGCATACATCCGAAACTTGATGATGGTACTGTTAGTTTATTATTTCCATCAAGCCCCTCTATGTATGTTTAGACGCCTATCTAGGTTCAGATTAGATTCAGCAGTGTGTATTATCACAGTCAGTTGTGGATTGACTACTATTGGACAACAACAGGGCGTAAGGGGTGTCCTCCTGCAGAGTGTGAGGTGTTGGATCATCAGGCACTACTACCAGGAGCACAGCAATCGATACTACCACCACAACAACAGGTAGTAGTAAGGGGTGTGCGGGGAGATGATGAGGAGGAGGGTGTGTACTATTACAGAACGGTGTGCCCGGGGCTCTACAACAGCAACAGAATGCAATAGAAGGATCACTTGGAACGGTGAGTAGATGTAGTAATGGTGTGGTATGCCATCATCATGCTTTCAGTATCGCGCTCAGCCCCCTCAACCCGTACAACAGCTACCAGCATTGATACCTCCATTACGACAGACGATCCCTCAGCAGCAAGGGTTCGCTCCCATACCCCTATTGGGCCAACTACCACCTGCATCAGCAGCAGCAGCAGCTCCTATAGTCCAACAACAACAACAACCACCAGAACAGGCCCTTCCTGTTGGGCAGCAGTCCTCGCCGATCCAACAGATGCCTCCTGCTGTCGCCTCTCCATTACAGACAACCCAAGCCCAGATCGTTACAGCTCAAGTTACATCGCCCGTACCCGATGCTCCTACTCCTTCTGATGATCCTCAATCCAGCATAGTAGGATAGGCATTCTTCTTATTGGAGTCTTCCACACATATACAGGTTAAGTGGCCTATCCCCTCTGATGCTGCTGCTACTGCTATTACAAGCATCGCCCCTACTCCTATGGGTAGCAATCAGGTTGTACAGCGCTCAGGAAGGATCTCTCAGGTACTGTTGACTCCAAGGGTGGCAACCGCTTCCCTCTATGGGCAACCGTATTAATAGTGGTTAGTGTAGTGATTCTCATCATCGGTGGCATTGGTTTACGATGGTGGATAAGTAAGAGTTCAGCTAGCCCACCGCCACATACCAATACTCGCTGTAGATAAGCGCCGTAGAGAGCGTGCACGAGCTAACGTCCAAGCCTACTACAAAGGTAGGCGACTCGAGAGGTCGGTGAGCCCAACACCCCCAAGCCAAGGGAAGCAAGCCTCTCCTCCTGCACCCCATTCACACTATGCTAGATTTCTTAGGGTTGATGATATAGCAAGCAGTGTACGTCGGATGCATCAAACGTGTTGTAGTTGTTTGCATCCCAGATAGCATCAACATCATCAGCTGAGAGTAATGTTGAGAAAGATCACCATGCATCAACATCACACCATGACCATCGTCACCACAGAAGGTACACAGCCTCTGTTCGCATTCTCTATCGACCTTCCATAGGAGGGAGCCCATTGAGAGCAGTCATCATGGGCAGCAACAGCAGCATCGACATCATCATCATCACCACGATCAACGAAGTGATGCATCTAGTCGTAGCCCCGAGCCAGCTCGAGCCTCGCGTTATAAGCACCGCACTTTGCGACACTAGTCATGATCAACATGTTCTGTGTGATAATCCTATGTTGTGTTTAGAGGATGCCGCGTTATACGTGGATTGAAGT